TATATATATATTTTCATCCTTTCAAAAATAACTGGGTAATGACCATATTAGTCAGGATTCTGGAGCTTGTAGTATACAACAAAGGCAAAATTCTTTGCTATGTGGAGTTTATATTTTGGTGGATGTAATATGAACAGGGGAGTGAGGAAATCCGGAGCAAAATGAAGCAATGTGCTAGATATAGTGGCACAGGTCTGTAATTCCAGCTACTTGTGAGGCGGAGGCAGGAGGACCACAAGTTCAAGACCTGTCTGAGCAACTGTCATAATAAAAAAAAAGTCTAGAAATGGAGCCAAATGTTTCCCAGAGCTATTTTAGTTGGATATCGTGAATCCAGTTATCTGTGGCAGCCCTTTAAACCTTTCCACTAATAAAATATACACACTTATTGTGGCAGTAACACAGTCTCTCTGTCTCTAGGTTGTTTTCCGAGGGGGTGAAGGGGCTTTGCAGGTTTTACCTCCCCTGGTAGATGTCATTCCTGAAGCGAGGCTGAACTTGGTGATTTATTACCTACGTCAGGGTAAGAAGAAATGTCATGGTCTTATGATTATGGCATATTTGGGGATGTTTAATCTCTGATTGAACAACTTGCTTAACTTTTAAAATCTATAATATTTACAAAGATGTATTTTCAACAAGTTCATAGGATAGAACAAACTTCTTGGTGATTACATGTTGTGACTTTTCTCTTTATCTTCTTTCCTCTTATGTTGCTACCTACCTCTTCTCCCCCTCTCTATTTTTCTGCCCTTTTCCTTTTGATTTTTCCATTGTTTTCTTCCCTTTGTAGTTCTTTTTCTAGTTTCCCCTTATAGGTAATGTACACCCACATTATGTGTGTTTGTGTGGTTTTTTGAGACAAGGTCTCTCTATGTAATTTAGGCTGACTTGAACTCCCTATGTAGCCCAGGCTGGCCTTGAACTCATGGTGATCCTCATGTCTTAGTATCCTGTGTGCTGGGATTCCAGGCACCATAACCGGATCATTTTCTTGTCTTTTAAAAGAATTTTTTAAATTTTTAAAAAATTTTTGGAACTGGGGATTTGCCTCAGTGGTTCCTCTGCCTGCCTCACAAGTGCAAGGTCCCGAGTTCAATCCGTGGTACCAAAAATAAATAAATAAATAAATTTTTGGTACTGGGGATCAAATTCAGGACCTCATGCTTGCTAAGCTAAATCCCTGGCCCTCTTGTCTTTTATTTTATTTTATTTTTTTGGTACTGGGGATTGAACTCGGGACCTTGCGCTTGGGAGGCAGGCAGCAGAACCACTGAGCTAAATCCCCGGCCTGTCTTTTATTTTTAATCATCACCTTCTTCTATTGGCTACAGTTGTCTGGCTTTTTATTTCTTTGTATCCCAGACATCTTATAAGAAGTGCTATGATTCAAAGAGAATGTGATATTTATTGCCCTTGAGAGAGATTAAAGTCGTTAGCCACATGCCGAAAGCAGCTTTTCTAACAGTGAGCCGTTCAGGGCAGTAGCTGTCAGACTGACAGTGTGGGCTGCAAGACAACATGCTCCTCATTGCAGAAAATGCATTTATTGGGCCGGGGATTTAGCTCAGTGGTTTCGCCGACTGCTGCACAAGCGCAAGGACCCGAGTTCGATCCCCAGTACCAAAAAAACAAAAAAAAGAAAGAAAAAAGAAAATGCATTTATTAAAATGAAAACATGAATTTGCAAACAGTCCTATTGATAGATAAACAAAAAGAACTGTGCTTTTGGAAAAGAATTTAAGAGTCTGTATATTTTATAAGTTAATTTTATTATGAAAAATTTTTTAACATAGACAAAAACATGTATTATTTGTTTTTTGGTTTTTTTGGTACTGGGGATTGAACTCGGGTCCTTGCACTTGCACAGCAGGCAGCAAAACCACTGAGCTAAATCCCCAGC